TTAGTGCTGGTGATGTTAGACACAATTCTCAGTAGAGCTGATCAATTAATCGTTGTGTCAATCAGTAGGAAATGATTCGTTAAATCGACTGATAATTGATAGAATGAGCTCTTTTTAAGAAATATTTTTACTCAGGCAAACTGTGGAAGGGTGTAGGAAATGGTGATGTGTGTTTTTAACCAGTTTCTGACATCTCATGGCCCAAACAACAAACTGGTTAGTAAAGGAAATAACTCATAATTGGTAACTACAGCACTGATCAACTAAACCAACCACTGTCTGTGCATATATGTTTAATCCATTTAATCTGAAGATAATGTGAAGCTTCTGTTCATGATCATCAAATTCTCTTTTGTCCTGGTCATTTCCCCACACAGGTGGAGATGGGGATGAAGAACCACGAGATTGTTCCAGTGAGTCTCTTGTCGTCCATCGCGAGTCTCAAACACGGCGGCTGCAACAAGATTCTCAGAGAACTCGTCAAGCACAAGCTCGTAGTCTACGAACGCTCAAAAGGTAAGACAACCCACAGCAATGCTAGCTTTATCTCCCAAGTACAGACAGATAAACCGTACATGTAGGTTATCTTTCTAACATGGTGTGTACTGTGATTTTAGCTGTGCAGGGCTACAGGTTGAACTACGGAGGATATGACTACCTTGCCCTGAAGACTTTGTGTGCCAGAGAAGTGGTCATTTCAGTTGGCAACCAGATGGGAGTGGGTAAAGAGTCAGGTAAGAAAACCATCTCAGTCTCTGTTAAAACATCAACAACAAGAAAACAGCTAATATGTGTCCATGACAGGCAGACATAATTCAGCATAACCTTGGTTGACATTACTTTAACTGTTCACCTTGACACATCAAACACATATCTTTCTTATAGCGCTATGTGTTTGATGTGTCCCCCTACCGAACAGTCCTAATTGAATAATTTGGATATACCCCCCTCACATAATACTCCCACCATGTTTGTCTTAAATCCATCAATATAATACATTATATGCTGTGATATTTTTCACCTGCAATCAAATGGTAAAATATTAAACGTGGATACATACATCATGAAGAGCTGGTCTGGTCCCTCAAATGAAGACAATATCAGAAAATAACAGTGATATTGAATTATTCGTTAAACTTTTCAGTTAAACAAGTCAGAAGTTGTGAGAATACGTCTTTTTCGTACCATAAATTAATCCTGAGAAGGCAGCTGAACAGAAGTGAGCATAAAGAAATTAAACTGAACAAGACATTAGTGTTAATGATTTCATGCTTAGGTCAATCTCTCATTTGCTCATGTTAAACATTTCTTTTTGTTTACTTCCTGCAGACATTTATATTGTGGCGAGTCCAAACGGGGAGCAGTACGCACTGAAGCTTCACAGGCTGGGTCGTACGTCCTTCAGGAACCTAAAGAACAAGAGAGATTACCACAAACACAGGAAGAACATGTCCTGGCTTTACCTCTCACGCCTCTCTGCCATGAAGGAGTTTGCCTACATGAAGGTGAACAAATCAGATGAAGTAGAAATAAAATGTCACCAGTTACTGTATAACACATGCAGTAGGAATTCAGTTTTGTGCATCTTTTGACTTGTCTCCAAATGTTTCAGGCATTGTACGATCAAGGTTTTCCTGTTCCCAAACCTGTGGACTACAACAGACACGCTGTAGTGATGGAGCTCATCAATGGATATCCACTGTATGTAAACAAGTCTTGCTTCTGTCTTTCTTTAGAATATTATGAAGTTCACTCTTTCTACTCTCTGTCTATTTATATAATGGGTTTGTATTGCTTCTCTCTTCCAGGTGTCAGGTACATGAGCTCCAGGATCCATCAGGCCTGTACAGTGAGTTCATGGAGCTCATAGTCAAACTGGCCAATCACGGCCTGATTCACGGCGACTTTAATGAGTTCAACCTCATGTTGGATGACCAGGACCACATCACACTGATTGACTTCCCTCAGATGGTGTCCACATCACATCTAAATGCTGAATGGTCGGTGTTGCTGCCGTAAATTTAAAAATCAACAGTTAAAATTGATAATTAAAAAAAGATGTAAATGTTCTTTTCTCAACTTTTGTTTCCAGGTATTTTGACCGAGACGTCAAATGTATCAGAGATTTCTTTGCAAAAAGATACAATTATGAGAGTGAGCTCTTTCCAACCTTCAAAGACATCAGGTAAGTCCATTTTTTGTTTTAAGATATTTTTTGACATATCTTGTGTATTGATGGGACAGTAAAATGAGGAGAGAGAGCAGAGAAGACACACAGCAAAGGGCCTGTGCTGGATGTGTATATAATATACATATTTATTTAGTGGGAACATCGAAATCTCTCTCCTGTTGTCTACATTTTTTTATCAAGTAAAACTACTCTTTTTTCTTTGTGATTTCTACTGCTCTAACCAAAACAAAAATAAATTGCCGAAGTTAATGAAAATGTTTGAAGTGGAAACGCCTGTGTAATGATCTGCTGTTGTCACTGTCGTCGCCCAATCACAGGCGGTCATGTTCTCTAGACGTGGAAGTCTCAGCTAGCGGCTTCACCAAAGATCTGCAGGAAGACAGCGAATTTCTACACCCAGCAGGACCTGATGGAGAGGAAGATGAGGATGAAGAGGAGGACATAGATGAAGAGGCAACAGATGAGGAAGTAGAAAGAGAAGAGGAGAATGTGGACATGGAGGAATACAAACATGCAATGCTGGAACTAGAAGGTCTGAAAGTCAGTGATGCACATGAGGATGAGGAAGAGGAGGAAGAGAGTGAACAGAAAGAGACTGAAACAGCACCTGTTGTCACAAGTGATGAAAAACCAGAGGAAGGCTTAGAGGAAGAGTTGAAGGAAGCAGAGGATGAGTGTCCAGAGCTGGAAGAACTTTCTACCTCCAACAAAGAGTTCAAACCCTTCAGGTAATGAAAAGTCAACACAATAAAACAAAAACACAAATCTTTTGTCACATCAAATGGCTCATAAAGGCTCAAAAATTGTACTAAAACTACACTGGTTGGTGGAGGAATACAATCACAGGGTGGTCATTTTATTTTTCTTTGTGTTTTCTCCTCCAGAGACTCGGACAGTCTCCTACACTTGGCAGAACACAGGAGGAGGAGGACGGACAGTGAGGGCACAATGGGCAGCATAGGGAGCTGCTCTACCATACCACCAGTAAGTTCAACACACTCACAGAGCTGTCTGTACTTGTATTATAAAGGAGGAATCATGGTGCGAGCCCGCAACATAATTACAGTACCATTACAAATACTGATTTGATCTCCTATTTGGACATTTTACCACAAACTGTAGCAATACTAGTACACACTTTTGGGCTAAAACTGATATTTCCTGCATTGTTCCTAAAGAGTGTTCACATGCTGTTTCAGTTTGTGAAAGAATTAAATGTGTGACTCGTAGCAGAGGCAACACATCTACATAGTGTTCTGACATTCGTCTGTGGTAACCTGCTGTGTCCGTGATTGTGTGTGTGTGCTGCAGGAGGTGGTCCGTGAGAAAGTGCGGAGGCAGCTCAGCAAACAGCAGAAGGCGGCACAGAGGAGACGTCTGCAGAAGGGAGAGGCCAACTTGGTGACTAAATCTAGGAGGGACAACCAAAACAACATCAAGTCTAGTATGGAGGGCGCTGACTTCTGGGGATGAATGGGACTGCAGGGATGGGCAGACAGCATTCATGTCAACATGCCTTTTGGTATGGTTAACATGCATGCGACATTGGTCATCTGTCACTGTCTGAAGAGTTTCAAACCCAACAAGACTTTCAGGACAGAAAAACCTGAGAGAGGAATAACAATTTAGATCTGAAGTGAAAACTGTGTGAATATATTTCCCTGTTTTTCACTAGGTGGCTCCCCTCAATGTATAAGGATGAGACAATTTTCTGTCTGAGCTGCTGTGGACTATAAAGCTGTAAACACAGTCTATTGTCAGTGTAATTAATCAATTTGACAATTAAACCATTTATATGTTACTGCTGAGTTATGTTTTTCTGTCCAAATTAATGTTTCAACAGGAAAATATGTTTGCCAATCAAGTTTTATTTTAAATTGACACTCGTGTCACACATGACTAAATAATGTACAATATTCCTTAAACAGACAGAAATGTAAAGACTTACCTGGAATGGAAGTTTCAAGTTCATTCTCAGTTTGCACATACTGACAGAGTGACTAATGTGGGTGTGGATTTACCAAATGCATTATGGGAGCGCTTTTCTTTATGCAAATCTCATTGTTCACAGGTCTCCAACTATTATGCTTGTTTGAATAGTTTCCTACCTCCATCCTCCCAGCTGCCAATCAAAAAAGTCAAGATTGACAGGCATGTGAGCCACATAAATGTTCCAGAACATGTCAGTATATTTACTATAAAAAGTTCCAAGGAAAAGATATATATACATGTTCACTCTCTCCCTCTCTGACACATTTTATCAGAGGGTGAGACATGAAAAAGACGAGAGGAGAGAACCTGGGAGCTGAAGAAACAGCTTCTCCCTCAGTATTTGGTTCATTTATGTAAGAGGCTTTCAGAGAGCAGCTGAATTCAGACCCGAACAATGGCCATTCATATTGAAGAGGGTGAATGGAGCTCAGACTCTGGGCTCAGTGGGCTCAAATTAGTGTGTGAAGTCAAAACTATCCCACTCCCCCACACACACATCTCAGACACTACATGTTGGACAGAACTCTTTCTTCATGCTCCTGGATACTGGCATTAGAAAGAAGCAGCTAGTTATTCTCACAGAGCCGTTTATTATTTTCATGTTCCTCAAGACGGGGCGTTGTGTTGTCTGTGGTTCAACTTGACAATTTTGTGCAGGTCTTCAACTATCCAGCTCTGTTCAGGGATTAGCCAGCTGCAAGGCCAGAGGGGAGGGGCTCAGCATTCCTGCTCTGCACCTCTGTGTGAAAGTGTGTGTGCATGTGTAGAAGGAGTGAGGGGCCCTCAGAGCTAATTGGCAGTGAGGGTTACAAAGGTGGTCTGCTTCAAAAGAGATGCTGGTGAGATGTTCACACAGGAGAAGAAGTGGCGAACGAGAGAGTGGTGATTTTTGATTATTTTTTTAAATGTTCCTGTTCCGAGCCGTGATGAAGATGGTGGTTGCTCATTTCTGAGGACGTCTGCACTGTTCTGATGGACGGCTCTGGAGAAGCACATGGGAGCTGAGGAGAGAGGACTGACAGAGATTCAAGTGGCTGTGGAAGTATAAGTGCTGAAAGAGGATGAATAAACTGAGAGCGGAGGAGAGCATCATGTCATACCTGTCGCGGAGTGAGACTGACACCAGCCCCAAAGACCGTGAGTTCAGTTTTATATATCAGACTGTTACAACTTCCATCTGTGTTCACCACTGACCTGATACTGACGCAGTAAAAAAATTACAAAAAGTATGAGATTCATTGTTTTCTAACATTCTAGCTGAATTTTCCTTTGAGTATGTTGCCTGCAACAAGTGTCTGTCAGTTGTTTGCTACATGGGAAATGTTCAAACCTATTTCAGGGCCAGAAAAAGATGATTAGTTGAAGGTATGGGATGTTTCCGTGCAGTTAATGATTCTACTTAAGTAAGCATAACTCCGACTGGCTGTATTCATATGTACCACATTTCTGGTTTTGATGACCACTCAAAGCACTTAAATGTAGAGTTTTTCCCATTCACCCCATTGGGGTTCAGCATTTGCCCAAGGACACTTCACTTAAGTCCCCCACTGGGATCAAACTGCCAACCCTCTGGTTAGTCGACGACTAATATAATTTACATAAATCTGACTTGTATATTTACTGCAGGTTAGCATTTACAAGGTATTTTACCAAAGTTTTCTCTGACCTTTCACTAAAAACTTCACCATTAATTATAACCCAGTATTTATAGGACTATTTTATGCATCAGACTGGAAATCTAGACTGATGAATAGTGTCTCCTTGAGATAAATTCTGGCCTTTACAGTCCATCAGTTCACTTTCTGTCGCGCTCAGCACCGTCACTCTTCTCTTTGACGTCCACCATGTGTGCAGTGAACGTGGTGGCCATGCTCCATAACTTCTGGGAGCAGAAGCAGACGAGTCAGTCGAATGGTTCCCTTAGTGAATCAGGAGCTTCCAGTGGTGACACAGCCGTCCAGACAGAAAGCTTGCTGTTGTATGAATCTGCACCGTCACCTGGTCCCCCGTACATCTGCTACGTCACCCTTCCTGGAGGAAGCTGCTTCGGGAACTTTAAGGTGTGTTTGTCATCATCATTGCTTTGTCGTAACATTTCTCCTGAAGCTGGTTAATGTAAAAAAACGAAATGAAAACTAGTTATTCATAAAATGCTGTTGTTGTAACCTGTTGTAAGTGACCACAAAAAAAAAGTCAAGGGTTTTATGATAGTTGAGGTAATGTTCCTGAGTTTATTCTAATGATAAAATTACAGAGAACATAGACAGTGAAAATTTAATTTAAGTCACCAAAACATTCCAGTCTATGTAAATAACTTGTATAATCTTGTCAAATTGTATCACATCAGCTTCCACTTTCAGAGGTGGGTACGTACATGCAACACTTGAAGGCCTTTCAGTGGGAATAAACACACACTCACATACACACTTTTGAGGTTGTTCTCAATTGATGTTGCCCAGTTTAAATCCCATGATGCCTCTCAATGGGCTCATTGTGACCCACACAGAGGCTCCCCAGCTCAGAGCAGGCATGTGATTGGTTATCTGTGAATGCCTCTAATGTCCTGATCTCATTGGTCTCACTTCTGATCCCATGATTAGCTGTAGTGAAGTGTTAAATCATCATCATTTTAAGAGTGTGTGCCCATTTAGCCCTGGAATTTCTCTTTGAAGTGACACATCCGTTTCCCTTCCTACTCCTCTTGACATTGAGACCCTTCATGTTCATCCTCTCCTCGTCTTCAGGTGTGTGACACTCAGGCAGAAGCTCGGAGGGACGCAGCTCGCGTGGCCCTGATGAACTCCCTCGTGAACGAGCTGCCGTGTCGACACATCAACTCTCAGTTCATCACTCAGAGTTTGCAGCAGGCGGCCACACACAGTGCTGTGAGTGTGACAGTCACTATTACACTTAGTTGTGACGACACAGAAGAAGAAGGAGTCTCGTCATGAATGTTGACCGTTGTCTCTGTACAGGTCTCTACAGAGGATGCGTGTGATTCAAGCACCAGTATAGGAACCTACAGTTTGCTCCTCCACTCCTACATAGGAAGGACAATGCTGGAGTTCCAGGTAAAACATAAAACTAAACTTTGGAAACTTTGTTTTCCTTGTATCTGTGCTCATAAATCTTCTGAGGCCATGTGGTAATTGTGTGAAAGATCTATTTAAAGTGTGAAGTGCTCATTTAAAGTAGGGGATCTTGAATATACTTGGACCCCAAATTACAGCATTGTCATTTTATATAATTTGGAGTTATTAAGCCAAACATAGCAAAACCCACAACTGCTGGTAATTCCAGCATACATTGTTATCATTGCGCTCCTACTCTTGTTTTTGCATTTTTATTCCCATCTCACTTCGGCAGGAAGTCTTGGTATGAAACACCTAATATGTCTACCTTAGTGTAAATAAGCATATGTCTGCAGACAGAGGGTTGTTATTAGGGGGAAACTGGTTCATTATGCTTCCAAAGCACGACTCATAAAAGATGGAGAGCTTCCAAGTAATATATACACATCCATATGTGCACAAATGTACTATACATACACTGACACTGAAACTTAGTCACACGTAAAAGCCTGCACGCACAGCACAGCATCAACCATCATGTATGTGACTTTCAGTGCTTTCTAATATATAGAGTTGGTAGCAAATATGTGGTAATCGAACAGACTCAAATAGCAATAGCATAAGGTTGATAAGCAGCTGGAACCAGATTAAACAGGCAGTGCAGCGTGGACTTCAACCCCAGACAAGTTATGTGTCACATTTTCCATCTGTGCCTCATTAGGTCAATTTCAGACTCTCTGTTTAACTCTAATGTCACCAGCTCTTAACACAGGGTAGCTGTTCAGCCAGACAGTGTTTTTATAAATGACGATGGATCCTACCTGGTGCATAGCGATTTACAAAATCTTTTCAAACCAGTCATCCACAGTTTAGGTCATCATGGGTTGTCTTTGTCAGACATACATGCACAGAGCTGTTGTTAGGGTTTGTTATTCAAGTCCTTAACTGAGGAGTTGCACAGAGTTGCAGGAGTGTGTGTGTGTGTGTGTGTGTGTGTCTGTGTGTG